AAGGCAACATTGAAAATAAACACCAATAATCAGATAACAAGATGGGAGGGGCTAGACAATAGACAGGAGAGCACATGGCACAAAGGAAACACATGACAAGCCATGTGCTCACAATAAACAGAACTAGAACACAAGCACATGCAGACTGTGTTGGCACATGACAACCCGGGAATGTCAGAGCTGTCACCCACTAAGATAAAACCAGACAGAAGTAACAGAACCCTGACATCAAGCTCCTCACCCTACATTCAAACAGTCTAATGACAACCCTCAGTTAATCACAAACTGGATATTCTAAGTTTAACATTAATATTAGGAACATTTACACATTTACCTTCATCATGCTCTATTTCAACTACGAAAAGCATTTAAAAACACATGCATTCAATGCAAAAAAAACTTTCTCATTTCAACTCTTCCCCCTCAGGACGGTATGTGGCTTCCTGTTTGCGGGCCTCTCCTATTAGATAGCTCAGAGGAGAAGAAAAGACAAAAGAAAACCATGATTATTGTAAAAACAAAGCACTGTCTGTCTACTTGCAATGGACGATTTATTGTTTACGGAACCACTATACAGAGAATGATAAACATTAGTGCAGCTTGCCTGTGATTTTGATCTGTGGAAAAACAAACAATGAATAAACTTATTTTGTACAAAACAGTGTTGTGTAGTTCTACGAATTGAATGATTTATATACCAAACACAATTTTATCACACAAGTGTATCCATAATGGACTTGCACATTGCAGCCAATGTCAAAATCAACCTGACAGTTTAATGTAATGTTAATCTATAAAACTAAGTGGTTTCTTAAGTTTGATAATTAATCAGCTATGTCATGTTTTTGACATATTTATGACAGGTTGTGTTGTCTTAGTAATATCAAGTTGTCATGACAAAGACACGGACAGGTTATGATGTATAGACCTTCCGGTTTCACAAAAACAGGAAATACGTAATCGTTGTGGAAGCGGAGTTCCCGTCAACTGTCAACACATCAGAAAAACTGAGAAAATTGAAAAGAAAATTGATCAGAGAGTCTTCAAAACTTCGAAAAAATGTAAACTTGATGATGACTTTGTAAAATGCCGTGGTGATGCTTGTCTGCAGCTGATGCATCTAAGACCAAAGATATGACTATTGATTTCAGAACTGAAGCTCATTCTTCCCAATATACGTTCATTAAAGGTAAGAAGGTGGAGTGTGTGGAAAGTTATTAATATTTAGGGACTATTATTAACAATAAACTGCATTTTGATGTGAATACCAGAAAGAAGTCTGTTTTATTCAACAGTTATCCTCTTAGGTAGTGATTTTTTTTTTTTTTTTTTTGCACTGCTCTTGCTATAGAATGATCAAAGATGAAGAACAAATTATACAAATATTAATTTATCCCTTGTACACTCAGATTGTATCAGAATGGTATATATTAATATTTTAAATTTATATAGCCCACTGTTGTGTGTTCTTATTTATCTTGTTTTATATTGTGGTTTAGCCTATATTTTTATGTGTTTATTACGCTGGATACAAATATCTTAATAAAGTTGAACATGAACTAACGTTACTTCATAATACACAAATCATAAAACATAAAAAAATAAATATAAACAATGATGGCTTAGTGAATGGTGACATGAGAAGTACAGAAGATCACAGGATCAATAACATCCCGCCAGATTGCCTGAATCCAGTTCCGTCGATCTTCATCGACAGGGAACTGACGAGGGAAGGAATGAAAACGACATGTATGGCTGCTTTTGGGAATAACAAAAAAAGATTGGTACGCAACAACTCTAACTAGTTGCCTGCGGCACTATCTGTTATGAATGGAGTGGAAGAAGATTACCACGACAATTGGGTATTTCCGGTCACATAAACAGAAGTTGTGAGAAAGGTCTATTGTTTTATGTCAAGGTCTCATTACCAATGCAATGTCATATTTGCATTAAAAATGTCATAATTGAGTGATTCGACACTTAATGACAGTTGTTATAAACGTTGCATGAAACATGCATAAACCCTCCTTCATATTCATGACATGTGTCATGTCATGATTAGGAAGGTGTCATGTCATTCTTATGCACACCCCTTCAAGTAAAGCGTTACCAAGTTTTCTGTGAAACACAAAAGACTTTTTTCAAGAATTTTGGTAACCAAAACATTTTTGGCATCTGGTCACCAAAACATTTTGGTTACCTTTGACTTCTATAAAAAACAGACATTATTTAGATCACATGTTTGTTGCTTATTGCTGCTCACCACTCTGAGTTCTGAGAAAAAGTCTTCTCATTTTTGTAAGAAATCACTTAGTCAGAGTTCCAGATGCCAAAAACATAGTCTTTATTGGTGGAGACAATAAAGCTGAGATGCCTCAAGAACATCTAACAACCTCAGTCAAGACCCTCACTTTTATACGGTTTTTTACACCTCATCCTCAACTTTACTCAGCCAATGAGCATTCATTATGGCATTTTTGATTTATTATTTACCCATCCTCCCCAATAAACATCTCTTGTCTTGGGTTGCAACATGACATCATGACTTTTGCGTAAACATACACGCCACTTTCGAGTCAAGTGGCGTGTTATCTCTACGCTTTTTGAGCTATCCGCGTGTATCCGAATTAACGTCCGAGTGATTCCGTGTGTCTGTACACGCCGTCAAATGTCCGCGCGAAACGAAGCAAAATGTACATCTACATCTGGGGAGCGATCTTTTTTTTTCCCTAGGATGGTAAGGGAACAGTCATAAATGCCATTAACCCCAGTGACGGTTAGGTTTAGGGACGGGGTTGAGGTAAGTCATATATTTATATAACGTTAAGTCAACGGCGTTCATAAACACGCTGAAAAGCGATTATTGCTCTTGATAGCACGCCAAAAATGGAAATACGAATTGGCGTGTCATACACACACTACTTCATGAGATCAGTCTGTGGGTTGGGTCCACAGTGAAAAGCCATCAACTGGTTTATCATCAAGGCAACATAACTGTCATTTGCATCAGTGATTTATGATGCTTGATATATATACGGATTTTCATATTAAAACATCTATAGTAGTTGGTACAGCTGTGCTTGGTGTCTTCTCAATTGAGAAGTGGTGAACTCTGTGACCTGAGGCCTTCTCTGAGTTTTACACTACAGGCTGTAAAACATATCTTTAAGAAAACTTTTCAAGAAATACACTAAAGTTACTGTCTTGTTTAGACTGCATTTTAGGAGGATCACACTGGATTACTGCTAGTGAGTTTAAGGCAGTGTTTTGATTTTCATGATTGTGAAAAATGTTGCAATTGTAGGTCGTTCATACTGCATCAGAATTGCCATTGTAACTCACATCATCGTTCAGAGAGAAAACTGAACAATGTAATACATATTTCCGCCTTTTCTAGGTGTAAAAACACTAAGGGAAACATGTTGAGGGGGCGAGAATACAATGCTGGATAGTAAATTAATTAATATTGTCACTGATTAAACTAAAAAAAAAATCAATAAAATAATCACATTGCTGAGTGTTTTTGAAAGTTTTGTACTTTGTTTCGTTTAAAAATACCTCTGCCAGTAAGACTCACTGTTTGTCAGCATGTGAGTTAGCAGAACTTGCACGTAGCCACAACAAAACACATGCTTCTAGGAATTTGATCTAGCACATATTCTGGCTGTGTGTTATTTGGACATTTCTGCTGTGTGACGGCTAAAGCAGCAGCGAGCGTCCATCACGTGACACTATTTTCATTGTAACCAGATACATTGTGAAGCGATTTTTTGCAAAACTACAGTGAAAACATAGCCTGGTTAAAACCAGACCATTCTCAGTTGTAGCTGAGTTAAAAGCGTCGTAGACAAATCATTTCCAGAGGGGCGTCACCAACGGATGTCACGGATAGACCTAAAACAAATCAGAGTGATGAAGGAGATGACGTATGCAGAGCGGCGGCTGGCGGAGAAACATCTCTGAGTGTTGTTCTTTGCTCGGTTTTTAACAAAAAGGAAACGTTCAAATAACTTAAAACAGACGCGATAGCTGATTCAAACGAGGGATGTTCGACTGCAGCATCCTTCTTTGTGATGTAGGCTACAAAATCTGCTTCAAAATCCCAGCGCCGTCATCATCGTGTAAACCCCGCCCCAACGTTTCTGATTGGTGCCGCGATTTCAGCGGACTGGAAATGGGCTTGAATGAGCTGTTTGCCAGACTAACTTTCAGGGCAAATCTAAATTTGCCGGAAGTTGTCTGGGTTTTCCCAGGCTTGTGAAAACTTCAAATTATCAGGCAATGCAATAAAATAGCTTCTCTTCCCTACAAACGATGCCATATATAATGTGAATAGTTCATTTAAAGGCCATATGGTACAGATATTGGTATTTATTTCTGTATGAGTATCAGAGGGCGTTCCTCTTAAGATGGAGGCGCCAGCCCAGTATGCAACGCGGAGTGACGTAGCTTCACATTATCTCTATATATTATACACACTAGTAGATATTTAAGTATTTAAATGTGTGTGTGTTCACCACTCACTACTCCTAACATGTATGCCATTTGCACGACAATGTTTTCAACTAAACATTTAAAAAAAATTATGAATTTTAGTCATTAGTTTACGTGACAATGGCGTTTGGTGGCCTGGAAATGAAAACTTTTGTGTAAGATTTTTAAAACTATACTGTTGTTGTCTGAAAACGGTGATGGCATCCACATACGTATTACATGTTTACATGTCTATGTGAGCGTTTAAATGTATACCGGTGTGCGCAGGCACACTTTGCCAACTACTTGTCTGGCATGCATAATACAGCATAGTTTTCGCAGATCCGTGAACGTTTTGATAATATTGTCATCTGAACAAAGAAAAAACGTTTCCGTTTTTAGTAGGTGCGACGTTGCTGTATAAACATGCCCTTGGATGGCTTAAATGCAGAGGATACATTCCGAGTATGGCCATACTTGACCTTCACACGTCACTTTCTACTTTTATTCAGTGGGGTGTGCTCATTTCCAATCCGGTTCTGTGGGCTTTGACTTCTATTTAAGATACTTGAAGAAATTCATTACTCATTTTCCAAGGGATTGAAGATCAACGTATACTGGTGAAGACATCTACAGGTAGGAGAAGTAAAAGAAGCATATATAATGCAAAGTTTATGATTTTGATTAAGGTTTGCGTAATTAATTTAATTTTCATCAGTATTTTGATGTTTATTTAATCCATGTCAATTATTGAAGCTAATGTTTTCTTTTTTTGGTGTGCTTTTTTGAATTTTATTTGAGTTGAGATAACTTTTTTGTAAATCAACTGAAAAACTAAATTAAGTTTACTTTACTAAAATAAATAATAATAAAAAAAAATTACAGTGTAGTTGTATTGTATAGTACATTTCATTTTTATGTTTTGCAGTTTAATATACTAATACACATACCCCTGAAAGACAAGGCTTAAGCCTAGTCCCAGACTAAAATACATGTTTGAGCTGTTTTAAATGAAAACCGCTTGCACAGACATATCTTAAAATATGTCAGTAACATTGTTTTGTCTCACACCAAACATTTTTCAAGTCAAAGGCAAATCCTAATTGAACTAAAGCCTAATCAAAGAATTATTGGGATAATTTAATTAGTTATGAAATATAATTAGTATTTTTTATTTCAATAAATATATGTTTTTCATAACAAATTTAATTTTCTGAATAATTATTTGCAATATTGAACTGAAAATGTATGAATTTGAAAGTGTACAGTGAATTTGGCAGGTTTGTGCAAGATCTTGTCCTTCAGTGGGAAGAACAAAATTTAAGCTAAAATCTAATCATTTACTTTATAATGTTTCTTTAATTTACATTTTTCAGAACACTAAAACTTTTTTTATTTTAAATCAAACCCTTCCATTCTTGAACAATTTTCCATTTGTTATTTGAACAACTAATTGTTGAGTAAAACATGCTTGTTTGCAGAATAGTATTCATTATAGACAACATTTAGTTTATTCGTAAAATGATTTAACTTAATTGTAATCCATAAATAGTTAATTCCATGAAAGTGTATGATATCAGATGTATCATTCTAATTCAGATTCATTTTAATTATAATCTTTTTCTCAGACATGGAGAGTAAGCTGATGTTTTTGGTTTGCGTGATAGGCTGTGCAGTGTCTTTCATTAAGGCTGAAAGCAACATATCAACACCAACAAATGTGACTGTAAGAATACCATTTACTCCTTTCCACAATTATTTGGTTCAGATAACCAAAACAATGACGGACAATTAAGTAATTTGTTTAAAATCAAGATGTGATTGTAATGAAAGTAGTTTAGGCTGTTGATGCTGAAAAAGGCATTACTAATATGTATACTTTTTCTGATTTTTCATATTTATAGTCCAAAATCTCCCGCAATGAGTGTGGAAAAACCAAACTGTGTTTGGACAACCCTAAAGGATGTGATCCTTCGGGTAGCTCTCAGTGTTTCTTCACCTCAGCTATCTTAACTAACATCAGCCTCACTGTTGAGCTCAGTGGAAACTCTACCGGTTACATCGCTTTAGCAGCTGGACTGACATCTAATATCACTCAGGTATGTAAAACACATTTTACAACACAGTCTTCAATGCCTCTGTGGACGATACTACCTTAAAGCAAAGACAATAACTTGTTTTGACCAAATTCATAAAATTGAGAGCCGATTTGGTGCTCAAGAAACATTGATTATTATTATTATCAATGTTGAAACAGTTTTTGCTGCTTTCTTTGAGGAAACTGATAAGTCTGAAGTAAGTATGTTCCCTTTTGAAGAGGAACCTCAGCACTGCGTCATAGAGTTGATGCCATAGAGATGGCATCAGCGTGACTGGTGTCTGAAGAGCGTCTAAACACACGTCAACAAATCCCTGGCAGACGACAGTCCATAAGATCTCATAGGGGCGCCTTTAATACATGTTATCAGCTTTTTTTCTTTTTTGTCTTCAGGAACCACTTGATATGGTCTATGATAGATTGAATGCGCTAATAATGATACATTTTCAGTAAAAAAGCTCTGTTCTTGTTTTATTCTGTCACTAGTGATAGGAGTATAGTATTTTTATGATCTCCTGAGGAATGAGAGTCGAGGGTCTACACATCACGGCTCGGGTCCCGCCAAAGCGGCAGGGTGGGATCAATCATGGGGATTGTAGTTGGAGTGTGGGAGGAGTCTGGAAGTTTTTCCCTTCTCTTGCTTGCTCTGTTGCTTTCATGCCAGTTCAGGAAGCCACTGTGTGGCTAATTAATGTGGCATGACTAATTCTAACGCCCGTTTCACACATACTCCGTTTGCAGTGCGTATGCGGTGAGTGTTGCGGTGCGTATCCGGTACAGGAGCCGCACGCGCTAAAGTGCTTTCACATATGCTGCGTTTGCATTGCGTGAGCTGTACCACAAACACCCGCTATTTTTATTTCAAAATCAGAAGTTATGCAGCAATAGCGTGACCATGACCAACAGTCCTGTTATCCCATTCCTGTTTTCACGTCCTTCCTGGCCGTTTTTTATAAAGTGATGTCCTGGTTTTCAAAAAAAAAAAAAAAAAACGCTGGAAAAGAGCAGCTTTATAGCAAAATATAGGAGATGAGCAGACAAGGAGGATGAGGAGGAAAAACAGCATAAAGAGGAAGGAAACTAGTTCGTTTTTGTACGTTTGTGAGAGGTATTTTTGTTCAATTTGAAGGTGTTTCTTTTAGTTAATTAATATTAATATATTTATTTTTCTAATACAGAAGAGACAATATTTTTTAATCATTATTTCATTCATTATTTTTCATAATAAAACGTCTCAGGTTACAACTGTAACCTATGTTCCCTGAGAACAGGGAACGAGACAATACGTCGAATGACGCTATGGGGAACGCCTCAGGCGTGACAGGTGTCTGAAATCAAATATCAACTCACAGTAATCAGGTTGACCGGCGACAGCCCGTGCATCATCAGCTTGAATGATGAGCGCGTCAATCTGGATGTATAAGAAGGGCGCCTTGAAACCGTGACAACATCCTATCGTCTGAAGGGACTGTTGCAGGCAGGCCCCGAGGCATGGCAACGAGACGTATTGTCTCGTTCCCTGTTCTCAGGGAACATAGGTTACAGTTGTAACCTGAGACGTTCCCTTTCGAAGGGAACTCAACAATACGTCGAATGACGCTATGGGGAACGAAATACCCACTCCGCCATGCTGAGGGGAGTGCATGCCGAAAGGCAGTGACACTGTCAGAACCAGTAATTCCAAGAAACACTGAAACCACTCACCCTATGTCACATCGGGCTGTCAGTGACAGCACTCCCTACCGGTCATAGCCCAAGCTAATGAACCAAGAAAAACCAGAACGTAATAACGTGAGTAAATCAGGGCCAGCTCAAAGGCTTTAGGACCACAACTTCAAAATAGAAGGGGTCCCTTCTAGGGAGTGTGGCTAGGGGGCCAAAGAGACCCCAGCCAGTCACTATTCAGGAGAACACTCCTCCTGAAATGCCCCCAGGCTGGCCTGGTGATCTGTACTAAGACACACAGTCTGGCCATAGCCTGTCCGTCCAAGACAGAGCCTCTGGAAATTGCCTAGAAAAGGCATCCAAAAACTGAAGGCCCGCGAAGCTGGCGGAAACCATCGAGTTTCGGATCACAGAGACGGGATCCTCCGGAGAGTGTGACTCAACCTTGAACCAATGGGAATCGTACACTCAATCCACGAGTTTCCACCCAGTGCTCGCTTTTGAGCACTGAGGAAGTAAGAGAGGAATCAAAAATCAGGAAGGTCAAAGAGACCTAAGACCTGATGACCCCATGTGTGGGGAGCTCCGATACATGAGGGCTCATGTCAGGAAGGCCGTACGTTGTGCGGCCTGAAACCCAACGACCACAGCATGTGGAAGCTCATCCTTCAGGAAAGCCAGAGGCTAGAAACCTGACAGACCCACAATGTTGGGCTACCTCGAAAAAGGTCTAATCAGACCTAAAACCACAGTTGTGGGAGATAGCTTGAACAAGGGAAGTGCCTGTCGTAATGTATTGCGACAAAGACACATCTACAGTGGGACCCAAAGTGAAGAACCGGAGTCTGAACCACATAAGAAGGGACCGAAGCATACCGCGCGTGACCCTCACCATATGAAATGGATTTTAAAAACTGCACAAGACATCTCGTCAGGTGACTTACCACAATAATAGGTGAAGTATGGGTTTGTGTACTTCACTCTGAATTCAGGAAGGCCTGTTGAGGCCTGTAACCTGGCGTCCACAGTGTGCGGGAGCTCGTAACCTGGCGACCACAGTATGTGGGAGCTCATAACCAGGAAGGCCTAGTGAGGCCTGTAACCTGGCGACCACAGTATGCGGGAGCTCGTAACCTGGCGACCACAGTATGTGGGAGCTCATAACCAGGAAGGCCTAGTGAGGCCTGTAACCTGGCGACCACATCCGGTGGGAGCTCGTACTCAGGAAGGTCAGTGAGACCCAGCCTGGTGTACCTGAAAAACCACACCAAGTGGGAGCTACTTCCAGAAGTTAGCTCTTAAGAACTCTTAAAGTGGGACCCGAGGAAAGACCGGGGTCTGAGCCACATAAGAAGGGACCGAAGCATACTGCGCGTGACCCTCACCATAAGAAATGGATTTTAAAAAGTGCACAGGACATCTCGTCGGGTGACTTACCACAATAATAGGTGAAGTATGGGTTTGTGTACTTCACTCTGAATTCAGGAAGGCCTGGTGAGGCCTGTAACCCAGCAACCACAATATGTGGGAGCTCATAACCAGGAAGGCCTGTTGAGGCCTGTAACCTGGCAACCACAGTGTGTGGGAGCTCATGACCAGGAAGGCCTGGTAAGGCCTGTAACCTGGCGACCACATTGGGTGGGAGCTCGTACTCAGGAAGGTCAGTGAGACCCAGCCTGGTGACCACAACCTGTGGGAGCTTACTCCACCAAGTGGAAGCTACTTCTTCCAGAAGTTAGCCAGAGAAGGGCGTCCCTGTAGCCAGTGACAGGACGCCACTTAAAGTGGGACCCAAGGGAAGACCGGGGTCTGAGCCACATAAGAAGGGACCGAAGCATACCACGCGTGACCCTTACCATACAAAATGGATTTTAGAAAGTACACAAGACATCCCGTCATGTGATTTACCACAATAATAGGTGAAGTAGGGGTTAGTGTACTTCACTCTGAATTCAGAAAGGCCGAACTTGAGGCCTGTAACCTGGCAGCCACAACAAGTGGGAACCCATAATCAGGAAGGCCTGACAAGGCCTAACACCCGATAGTCCCAATGCATGGGGAGCTCACATTCAGGAAGGCCGCTGAGGCCTGCAGCCTGACATGTGAAGACTCACCACTACAACTTAGCGACCACGAAAAGTGGGGGTTTCACATTCAGGAAGGCCTGGTGAAGCCTGCAACCTGACATGTGACAACTCACAACCAGGAAGGCCAATGAAGCCTGAAGCCTGGTGACCACAGAGTGGGAGCAAAGTGCTCAGGGAAGGTGGTGAGGCTGTAGTCTGGCTACCGCATCATGTGGGAGCCCACATTCAGGAAGGCTGGGTGAGGCCTGTAAACTGACTACCACAGTATATGGGAACTCATAACCAGGAAGGCCCCTTTGAGGCCTGTAACCTAGCAACCACAATGTGTGGGAGCTCATCACCAGGAAGGCCTGGTGAGGCCTATAACCTGACCACCACAGAAAGTGGGAACTCATAACCAGGAAGGCCCCTTTGAGGCCTGTAACCTAGCAACCACAATGTGTGGGAGCTCATAACCAGGAAGGCCTGGTGAGGCCTGTAACCTGGCGACCACAATGTGTGGGAGCTCATAACCAGGAAGGCCTGGTGAGGCCTTTAACCTGGCGACCACAGTACGTGAGAGCTCGTATCCTGGTGACCACAGTATGTGGGAGCTCATAACCAAGAAGGCCTGGTGAGGCCTGTAACCTGGCGACCACAGTATGTGGGAGCTCATAACCAGGAAGGCCTGGTGAGGCCTGTAACCTGGCGACCACAATGTGTGGGAGCTCATAACCAGGAAGGCCTGGTGAGGCCTTTAACCTGGCAACCACAGTATGTGGGAGCTCATAACCAGGAAGGCCTGGTGAAGCCTGTAACCCAGCGACCACAGCATGTGGGAGCTCATAACCAGGAAGGCCTGGTGAGGCCTGTAACCCGGTGACCACAATCAGTGGGAGCTCATAACCAGGAAGGCCTGGTGAGGCCTGTAACCTGGCAACCACAGTATGTGGGAGCTCCCACAGATGTCTCTCCGTGGCCACCATAGCACCGACAGAACAGCAGCTTGCTTGGTGGCCCGGAGTCCCGCAACAGATCGGTCTGGTAGGCCTGAGGACCACAAGGGCGTGCAGAACCGCACCTGCCTGACCTGCTGCCGTGTACGCTCTGTCATTCAAGCATGAAGATGTCTTGAGCAGCTTGGATGACAGGGTCAGAGCTCTTAGTGAAGAGGACCAACCAGAGACGAGATAGTTAGCCAACGTCTCGTCCACTGGCGGCCTCGACACTTATCCGTTCTCCACGGCTCCCTCCACAGCAGCGAAACTAG